CCCCGACGGCTGCCGGGCCACCGGGAGCCCGCGGCGAGCACAACCACGCGCGGAGCCCTGCCAAAGGCAGCCCGTGCCAAACCTGAATTACCAGCCCAGAGAGTGGCTGTGGATCCCGGGAGCTCCTGTGATTTGCGGCAGGTTTTTCAGGTCCCCGCCTGTCAAACACACACGCAGATACTTAAGCAGTCACCCAAGGACCTGCGGGGTTCTTGTTTTACACGCTTCTGGTCCCTGCCAGCTCCAGGTAAGCACAGGCTCCGAGCTGAGGGTGCTGGGGTGGGTTTGCGGCTGGGGATGGGGGGGATGGAGGGAGGTGCTGCCCTGTGAATGCTGATGCTGAAGAGGTGGGAGCTGCACCCAGCGGGGCAGGAAGGCTCATGCCTGGGGCAGGCAGAAGAGCACCAGGCAGGAGAGACCCCAGGCATGGGCCACCGTGGGGTCCTGCTCTGCTGCAGCAGCTGCTGTGCTCCTGTTTGCTTTGTTCCCATCTGATATTATCTTTTAAAAGACTGGACGGGTAGTTTACAGGATGCATGACAGGTGTTTTTTCCTTATTTATGGCAGGGCCCGGTTTATTTTTAAAGCCTCTGTCCCACCTTATCCTGTGCGCCATGCTGGCTGACGTTATCCACAGCCACCCCACAGCAGGAGGCTGAGCAAAGCTCAGGACAGGACACGGCTCTGCAGCAGAGCAAGGGAGGGTAAGAGGGCTCGTTTGCATTGAGAACTGCTATTTTGATCCCTGCAGCGGCAGGAAGTAGCTGCAAGCTAAAACCAGACGCAGATGCCTCCAGTCGCATCCCAGCCCTGACAGTGGGAGCACTGGGGAAGGGGTCAAGAAGCCCAGCAGAGGCTATGGAGCCCCATCAGCTTGGCAGGAGCTACTGCTCAGAGAGATTTCTAGGGGCGTTGGGTGTAGTAAATCATTAGAGTTGCACAGCCAGCCAGTTATTGTGACTACTGTTCAAAAAAAGCAAAGCTGAGCAAACAGAGATCATGTCTTTTCTAGAAAAGTGGTTGATTTCTGCCAGGATAGTAAATGCTGACTGTGCTAGCAGTGCTGGGCAAGCATGCTGGGAGACAGAAAGATGTCCTCTCCCGTTTCAGGCCAGAGCTAGGAGACCTGTTAGTAACCCCAGGGTGTTTCTGGGGAGCTGGGTGCAACCACAGGACATGGGCAGAGTACTGTATATTTATAATAAGACTTTCTCTTGCTGCAACTTGTGTCCATCGGCCACTGCCTTTTGTCTGCTCACTCCAAAATGGCCCTGGAGGTGCATTTTACTGCCCTATCAGCCACACTAAGAGCACCAGGTGCTGTCATGTACATACGTAGCAGTGCTGGCTGGAGCTGCCCACAGCCCAGGCAACCACTGAACCACTTGCAAGCTTCTGCTCTCACAATGTTCTACCTAAAACCAAGACAGTCAGAGCTGAGTGTGAATTCCCCAGGGGTCTTTAGCTTGACACCTAGGACAGAGCAGGTGTGGTGGTTTCCCTGTGACAGTGCATCTGGCATTGTCATTTCTGCCTGGGTGAGTACAGCCCAGCTGAACGACAACTGCAGCCCCACAACCCTTCTGAATGGCTAACATTCCTTGCACTGAAAAAGCCTTGTTTTGTTGGGGTTTTTTTTCAATGTTGTCAAAAATTTAAGAGGAAAAAGCAGTGACAAGTGATGCTTTTCAGCAGCTAAGCCAAACAGCTGTGAGTCTCCATATTTCTACCAGGCTTTTAGAAATGTGAGACAATAGCCTTTCCTGTACAGAGGAGAGGTGTTGGCCTGAAGGCCAGGCTGCGTGCCTAGGCTTAAATGAGTTTCCGTTTAAGTAGTGGGCAGGTGATTAGTGGTCTCTATAGGGCCAGTCAGAGCATTTAGGCACTCCTGGTGCCCTCAAGTCATGTCATATACCCCCAATTTGTAGCACTGAGGAGGTGCCAAGTGCTAGAGGCCATATGCTGCACAGGGGTTACATGGCTCCTGAAAGCCTCTTAGGATGCAGTGCAGTGATGTGGAGGCCTCCAGGAGCCCCAGAGTTCTTGCGTTTTCCTGAAACCCATCTCACAGCCTTGAGAGGTAAAAGCTGTTCTGCTTCCAGAGCAGGGGTAGAGGGGACATAAAGAAAAGCCTTCAGGTATCACATCCCACATGCTGGGGCACCCTGAGCTGCCAGCAGGTAAAAGATAGTGTGTCCTACGGGGAAACACCTCAGGAACCCGGAGATAACCAGAAGCAGAAATAGCTGTGCAGGTGAAACATGAAAGGTGAAGCATGTGTTCCTATGCAAATCCATGCACACACATCAAGGCACATTAATGCGGCAGGCTGCAAACAATGATTTATGAACTGCCAAGGCATGTTGCTGCTGGTGGCCCAGGCTAGATGCATGATCTGGAGGTGATGAGGATCCCTTTGTGGCTGGGCTTTCTATGAGAAGGGCAGGCAGCTCAGTGGTGTGCTTCAAAAAGGAGAGGCAGGACTTGTGGCCTGAGCTTGGCCTCATCTGCATTTTGACCTCATGAAGAGCCTAGCAGGGACAGTACTGGAGAGCAGCACCTCAAGTCCAGGGGACCTCCTTCTGCCCCTGCATCTTTTCCTGAGGTCTACAAACATCTAAGGTAGGTGAGCAGCATTCAGCAGACTTCTGCTACCTCACATGAATGAGGAACTGAATTATGACTGCCCCCTTCCTATATGGATGCTTCTGAACTGAGCTGACCCCAGGAAAACCCAGGCAGCTCCACAGACAAGTCCAGCTTGGCTTGCAGTACTTGGGCTTAAAGATGGTCTTTCCTCAGTCCACCCAGGGCTGGTGGGTGATACTGTATACCAGCACTCCATTGTGCTCAGAGGTGCTCCAATGTTACACAACCACTGTGTTACAATCTGTATTTACCAAGTGACTCAAGCAGAGTGGGCTGTTTCACAACCAGCCCATGTCTATTTATAAGCCCCTACTCAAATGCCAAAGGATTCTTTATTAGTCAAAGCACTTTCTGTAGAGGAGGCTCAGGGGGATCTTTGCTTTATGAGGTAAAGTTCAAAGAAGGAGATCTCTCCAGCCTCTCACTGTGCCTGGCTCTTCACAAGCTGCATGACAGTTTTGCAGCCGAGCTCCATCCTAGAAGTTCTGTCAGCAAGTGAAAGCCCTGGGGCATTCAGTACTCCAGGGTACCTTAAGGTGAGTTAGCAGTCAACCAAGAAAGCAGCTGGGTTTAAACTTATGCAGTAGGAGTGCAGCATGGTAGATGTTCCAGGATTATACCCCAGAGCCAAAGGGAAGGAAAAGCTGGGCTCCAGTGTAGGGGCAGGGCAGGTCTGCAGCAGATGGCTCACAGGAGTCTCAAGAAGGGCCAAGGGCTCCTGGCAGCACTGGAGAGCCAGCAACACCAACCAGCCAAGCTGACAGAGATGGGCCAGGCAACTGGGACAGCAGGAGAGCAGATCAAGAAAGGCCACATTTTTGCAACCAGCTCCTCCCCTGCCAGTACCCCACAGCCTGCTTTCAAAAACACCACAGTGATTCAGCATCAAGGGACTTGTGCATGCTGTGTGGGGGCAGTGCCTCGTGTTTTAGTTGAGTGAATTAGCAAGCTCGACCCTCGAGTGAAAGCAAACCTGGAGCCCAGCAGACGAGAGGTGGCAAGATGCACGTGTTTTGCTTGTTCTTTTGGGCCAAATCTTACAGAGATTATGCAAAGCACAAGTGGGACAAATATTACTCTGGAGGAAAACACGGGCTTCTTGGTGCTGCCGTTGCTGGGGGCACCTAGGACTGACCACAGTCAGAGGCAGCAAGTGCTTGACCAGCAGACATACGCTGGGTGCAGTGCTCAAGGATTTGAATACTTACGCACCAAAACCCAACCAACCAACCAACCAGCCAGCCAACCAGTTCAGTGATGCTCAGGCACAACAGAACTGTTTATGCCCACATGTGGTAACATTAAATATTACTTCAAACAATGCAGCTTACCTTCTCGTGGCCAGCATTGTGTGATGTCTGGCCATACTGCTAAGAGAAGGAGCAGGACACTGACCCTGAGGAGAGGAAATAGAGTGGTTGTTGGGTCGAAGGCCATGCTCCCAGAAGATCTTGTATGTTGTTTTATCATTCCTTTGCACAAACTTGTCTGGGAATCACTGGGAAGTAGGGAAAAAAAAGCAACAGCCCACTAGGTTAGATAGCAGATATTGTCCATTCACCCAGAGGATAAATAATGTTTTTTAGCTAATATCTTTAAATGAACCCCCTGAACATGCCCATTGGTGTGACATCACTCCTAAGTGACGCCCAGGCCTAAATACGGCTGTAAACAGGAATCGTTCCCATGGGAGTCACACTGGCTATAAATACAGCACCAGGGGAGTGCTGAGCAGCCTGCAGCTTCCTGCCAGCTGAGGATGGTGAGACAGCTCAGCGCTGGGCACTGCTGCCGTGTGGTCGCTGCAGTGAGGCAACGGAGACAGGAGTTGCTGGGGGGCTGGTGCTCCCAGCTGAGCCCCCTGGCATGTCTTTGGGAAGGGAGTTGAGCCCTGCTGCAGCCCGAGGCTACAGCTGGGGCCGGGGGGGGTGAGGTTGGTGGGGACACGGATGGCAAATCTGGGGCTCAGCAAGTGTGGCCCCACTGGCCACTCCCAGCTTGAGCAGTGACACCAGCCCCTCTCTGCAGTGCCTGGCCCCATAGCCCTGCCCCAGGAGGAGATGGCCATGGAAAATCCAGTGATTCCCACTGAGGAGCAGCTGGAGATCCTGGAGTACCACTTCTGCAAGGTGAATAAGCACCCTGACCCCACCACACTGTGCCTCATCGCTGCCGAGACCGGGCTCTCCGAGGAGCAGACTCTGGTGAGTGTATGCCCCTCATCCCGCCCCTGGCACTAGCCCTGCTCCCCCTGCATGCCTCTGTGCCCCACATCTCCTGCCTGTCCTGGTCTCTCTGTTGTACACCTGCACCTGTCTGTCCCCTGCACAGGCTTCCTACAGCAGCCCCTGCCCTTCTCATGCTCCCCCCACACTGCCTGCACTCCTCGGTGCCCCATCTGCTCCCTCTTGCACTCCCTGCACCACCGTGCACCCTGCACACTCCTCACTGCACCCACAAGTCTCCTCTGCACTGCTGCAAGCCCCAGCACACCCCTAACTACACCCACAGAGTTCTACTGCAACACAGCACCTCCCTGTACCCCACATCCTTCCTGCACTCCGTGTGTTTCTGCTCCTGAATGTACAACCCGTGCATGCTGTTAAAATAGATAGAGGATAGATGCAATTCCTGCAGGATGTGCTGTGGGACATGCTCAGGCTGTGCACCCTCTGCCTCAGCATCCCTAAGCACACATGTCAGCCTCTCCAGGAGACACAGAGACCTCCAAATACCCCTCCACAGGGACAGGCTGCCACTGTCTGGGAATTCCACCAAGCCCTGTGCTCCAGCTGGCTACCTGTGGGCTGCCATGGGCTTCAGAAGCAAACGGCTTCTTCCCAGTTCCTTCAGGTGGCAGTGCAGCTCATTGCGATGCAGGTGTTTACTACACCCCTAGCAGCATTTATGGGTATAGAAGAGAAATCCAACCCACTGGAAAGTTAGCAGCAGTTTGCAGAGAGCTGCCAAGCCTGGCTCTCCCTCAGCAAAGCCAAAGGGGTGTAAAAGCCAAGCTGGCAATGTCAGCATTTAGCCTGTCCCAGGGAAAGATGCTGGAACAGCATCCATTGCACTGATAGTCCTCAGCTGGAATGGACTGAATGGACTATGCTTTGGTGAGGCATCAATCACTGCTTGTTTGAGGCAGCACCCCTAAAATACCTTTTTCTCCATAGAAATGGCACTGTTCCTTTTTTTTTCTTTTTTCTTTTTTTTTTTTTCCTACAGCAACTTGTAAACACAAGCCATATGCACCCAGGGCATCTCTGTAGATCTCTTCCTGATAGCTAAATTTTCCCACTAGTCGAGAGTGCTCCTAGAGATCTGGAGATGAAGGTCATGTTAGGGACAGGATCAAGACTGGGGTGGCGAGTTGCAAAGTGCCTGCATTGCGTAGAACACAGAGAATCATTGCCCCTGACATCTGGAGTGCTTTATCATCTAGAAATAGCAGCCATTTTAATAAAAAATTCAGTAACAATAAGATGCAAAGAGGACATGATGGTTTAGGACAGAAAGTGTAATTTCTGAGAGGAGGCTAGGCTGTCAATCATATGACTGGATGTGGTCAAAGGCAGTGTGAGAGACACTTGTAGAGAGCACCGTGGTTGTATCATTACAGACCATAATGGCTTCAAAAATACCCATGAACAAATATAGCAACAAAATGAGCTGCAACAAAAGGAATCACAGGCACGTTGCCAAACAAAAGGCTGAGCTGTGCTTCCGGCACATGAGTTATATTTTTTTTTTTTACTTTTCTTCTTAGGTAGTGTAGCTTTAACTAGATACATTTTTTCTAATATTTTAAATTGTGGCTGCCTTGAAGTGGCATCAGCAGCTCTTGGAATGGGCTTCCAGATGCTAAGTTACAACAGACATAGTGCTAAGTTACTGCTAACATTGATGTGCATATTGCCTAAACACTAAGACAATTTTTAAACCATTTTAAAAATAGATTTATTCTTACATTTGTTGAGAGCCAATGTGCTGTACCTCTCATGCTTTCTGATACAGGTGAGCTTTTGATTCCTATCAGTTTTGGACCCGCAAGCGATTGTTTCACTTCTCCAGTCATTTAAACAGACACCATCCAGCTCCTTAGCCAATCCCTTACTCTGCAAGAAAAACCTGGACTCACAGCAACAATAAGGACTCACCCACACTGTCATGGTCTGAAGTGAGCTAGAGAGATGAGTTTGAAAGAGATGCACACATAGGTTACAAGACCGTTTGGTCAGGAGCAACCATCCTGGCTGCCTGGGAACAGCACCTTGCCACAGGGCAGCAGCACCACGAGTTCCCCTCGCCTCGTCCCACGTGCTGACACCTGCACCTTTAGCAAAGTCACTCAGCAGCTTCTCTCAGCCCAGTGCACTCAGTCTCTGCTTTGTTCTTTCTCTCCAGAAATGGTTCAAGCAACGCCTGGCAGAGTGGAGGAAGTCTGAAGGGCTGCCCTCAGAAAGCGGGTCTGTCAGGGACTAGAGGATGCTGCTCCAGTCCCCTCACCTCTTATAAAGGATGGTGAAGCTCTTCAGAGTGGGTTTCCTCGGGGTTCTTCTGTTGCAATAGGTTTTGCGATACAAAGTAATACTCTGCTATTTAACATAAATTTTATTTAACATGTACATAACAAGAAAAAACCCATTATATATATATATAGGTATGTGTATACAACTTTTGACGGCTGATAACCTGTCTAACGATTCCAACCCATTAACAGCAGCTGCACAAGAAAAGGCAATTTCATGCCCTTGTCCCAGGCTTGCAGACAATTTGCCATGATACATGCTCAAATACAGAAGGAAGAAATAAAGATTTGTTTTCCTTACAATTCCTGGAGGCAAATTATGTGTGCTAGCTTTAAGGTACAGATCATCCAGAGAGCAGGGCATCTGGAAAACCAGGTGTGCTGTTCAGGTGACCTGTTTTGGCTCAACATGCCTGAATCAGCTCTGGATGCTGGCAAAGCAAGTCCTACACCATAATCAGACCAAGCCAAGCATCCCTTGAATGCCTTTTTTACCTTTCTGTTAAAGGTCACCAAAGAGAAAGAACTCATGGGGTGTTTTGGGATTTTTCCCAGTGTAATTATAAAAACCCAATGTTTTTTGATGAGAGGAGGTCTATTATGTCCCTGCTTGTGCTCCCTGCCACCGTGACAGGAGGCAGACTCCTTCCGTCTGGAAGGGCAACGTTGCTCCCAGGCAGCCTCAGTGGGCACAGTGGGTTTTCCCTTTGCCACAGGGACAGCCATGGGCAGCCTCATCTCCCAGGGCACCCGTGGGTCCGTGCATGGCAGCCCACACAGCCCCACACACCTCCTAATCCCTGGGGAGGTAGAGGCTGGTGGTGCTGGGGTTCCCCCACAGCATGGGGGCTTTAGGAGGAGACCCCAGTCTCCTTCTGGCCATTCTCAAGCCTGAGGAATGCAGTTGCACTGAGGCTCTTGCACGAAGTCCAAACTCTCATCCATTTTGGCACAGGACAATGCCTGGTCTAAAAATAACCAGCACCGTTGCCCAGTGACCTTACCTTGTTCAAAAGGCTGCAGAAGCACTCTACTTAGTGGATTACTGAATCAATTAATGGATCCTCTGATTAATCCCTTCTGGTTTGTGGTCACCTGTCTCTATTCCTCTGGAAGGAGAATCAGCTTAACACAGGGAAGATTAAAATATATTGTCTCTGAAACTGCCATATGCTTTCATTTGTGGCTTTTGTCCCTTACTGCTGAGCATCTCTTGTGCCTCAGTATCTCCAGCCTGTCATCAGTGGTTGGGCAGCCAGTGCAAAACACACTGACCTTGTAGGAAGCAGATAAAAGCATTCTCCCTTATGCCATGCCCCACACAGGCTGTTGTTCCCCTGCAATCCAGCTGCCAAACTGACTCACCCACAAACCCGACTGGAGCTCAGAATTTGTTCTGCAGACTCTGGCATCAATACTTGCTTCCTTCTAAGTGTTTGCAACTTGTCTTCTCTCTTACTCTGAGGGGAACTCTGCCTTTTAGAGTTAGGCTCCAAATATCCCTGTGCAGAACTCTCTTGTTTTGCCCAGGGTCACACAACTGAGTAGCTGAACCACACAGATTTTCACTCACCTACGTAACCGGATCTGCCTGTTCTCCAGACATTTGAGAAAACAGGCCCCAAATCCAAGCCAACTCAACATACTTTGTAGCCTTTTGTATTTCTACTTCTGCCACAAGCACAAAACTCCTGAGTGTCAGTAAGAGGATGATTAAACTTTACCAAAAATGTTTAAACCCCAATTCAGGAGTTGTGTTGCATCAACTTACTGCGTGCTCTTGGGTTTGGTTTGCCACGCTTCCCCACGTGAAAGGACAGTTCCTGTGCTGCTTTCCCCCAGCAGTTGTTTCATTACTTCTTAAACTATTACAGCAATCAAGAGAGAAACTCCAGACATAACCCATCCTAGGGAGAGAGTCTTCCCACATTAGGTCGAGTTCTGTTAATTTTCCCTGATGACTATTCTTAAGGAATGATGCTTTTATTTGAACTCACAGAAAGTGCTCCTGCTGAGTGCTACCTCTGCACTGTGTTCAAGGAGATTTTCGAGCCACAGCACAGGCCAGAGAGAGTGATGTTCCAAGGGGTGATGTGGGCAGATAGCAGGAGCATTTCTGAGGGTGCTTAGCGCTGAATTGGTCGAGCTAGTTCTTCGATCCGTGGAGAACAAGCTGCCTTTATAGCAGCCTCCTTCACTTTGAATGCATCTGGGTTGAGTGTAGTCAAGCCCATACGAGGTCTGGAAGAGAGAGGGTAGGGATGGTTAATCCTCACTGGAGCAAGGCCAGCTGTCAGCTGCCTGCCAGCTGCCACACCTTCACCTAAGCCTGCCCTTCCCTGTCAAAACAAAAGGCATCACACCTCCACTGCTGTCATCAGGGGAGGGATATCTCTCACAGCCACTACAGCCAGGCATTCCCTCACCCTCTGTGAAACATCCTCCCCAGAACTTCATGCAGACTGGGCTGAGGTCAGCTGCAACATGCTGGGCAACATGAATGTGTTACACTCTGCCCTTTGCCAGTTGGTTGCTTTTTATAATTGGAATTAATAAGAAGTCCCAACCAGTAATTCCTGCTGGAATTTGAAAGTTCCCGTTCCTTCTCTTTTGACTCTCCTTCTACCACAAAAGGGCTTTTTAAACAGCAATCCAAGTAGCATCCACATCCAGACACATAAAATCCATGCATTTTGAAAGTGGAAGAGTACTTCCTAATCTTGGCCTAATCTCTCTGGCCAAACACAAATGAACAAGGTGTCATGAGCCACACAAAACGGGCTGGCAGCTGATCATTTCCCTGTGATGGGGAAGCCATACCTACCTTGTGCTAGGCTGGGCCAGCTCCACAACCCTTGGTGTAGCCACTGCGTGCTTGGCAGCTTCTGTCACAGGCCACTCAGGATCCCGTGGGGGCATGTACTTAGCATGGACTTGTTTCGGCTTCGAAAGCTCAATGGTCCGAGGGCTTGCAACTGCCTTCTGAGATGACCTGGAAACCTGTGGAAGAATGGGGAGGAAGGTCCTTAGATGTGCTCCTGGCATTCAAATGTGCTCAGCGTGCAACCAACTCAGTGTTCCCAGGTTCACAGCCACTGACCACAGGCAGATGGGACATGATCCTGTCCTCAGCAGTGTTTGGCACCAGGCAAACTGTAGAAGGAGAAATCACTGCCTGGCCAGTCCCACAACCTGCCCTCCAGCCTCCTATTACTCACAGACCTTTGTCCAACCCACCCCCAGCACTGGAGATCTCAGGCACTCGTCCACCTCTCCCCATCCCCACAAATGCAGGCTAGGCACAGCTCTGCTATTCTCTGGGGACATGTGCTGGGAGTCAGTTCATGCTCTGAATGGAGCACACATCCTGCTTTCCAGCTCAGGAAGCAGCTAGGCCAGCCTCATGGAGAGCAGCACATCCAGGGCGGGATGAAGGGAGCCACAAGCAATTGAGCACCTGTGCCCTCTGCCAGGAGTCCCATCCATGTAGGGTCCCAGGTGACGCTGCCTTACCGAAGAGATGAGATCACCAGGATGGGTGTGCTTAGTGCAGCAGGTTGTCTCCCTTATCAAGGGCTCTGCGAGCTTCTGGACCCGTGCTGATGCATTGGCCAAGGTTGCAAAGCTGGAAATTTGTGTTGGCACCTGCATAGGTCCAGAATGGGGGAGGGATGTGCAGACACAGAGCTTGTACAGCAGCCCACAGAGACATGCTTCCTCTCCACAAGGATGAGCATCCCAGCACCCTTCCTTTGCAGACACGGTCACTCTTAATTTTCCAGATTCCATTATCTTTCCTTTACCTAAACTATTAAGTAATTTTGGTGCTACAGCAATTCCTAGCTGTTGCCCACTCAGAGCCAGGACAGAGTGCCTGTAATGAGAGCCTGTGTAGCCAGGTAACAGTGCAGAGAAATTTCTTCCATGTTTTTTATATTCATATTCCTGGCTGAATCACAACTTCCTGGCTAAGGAGAGACACTCAGATTTCAGGGTAAATTTGCTTGTACAGTTAACTTCATTCCTACAGAAAATGTGATTACTTTTTCAGGGGGGACTTCTTCCAAAATTTTTCAGAGAGTCACTGTTGCCCAGTCCTGCTCCAGCCCAGCCTGCCATTTCCCAGCTCCAGAGGCTGCACAGAGAAAATGTAGCCTTTGCCATGGAAATGAGTGTAATCTGAGATTGCTCCAAGTCCTTTCACCCCTGCCAAAGCAATGACCCACCTAAAAGGAACAAGCCCAGAAATATAAACTAGGCTTCTGGTAAAATGTAGTTAAAATACACATAGTATTTGCAATCTCATGCCCCCTACGTACTCCGATAGGAGCACAACTGCCCAACTACAAACCTGACTACTCCCTTAGAGCTAAACATGCCATTTCCATCAGGTTTCTCCACTTTTCCAGAATGCTTTATCTGAGGATGAAGCCCAGATGCCTCCCTTGGCTCTCCTGCTATACTAGCCTGCTCCAGCCTGGCTGGCTTTTGTCTCCCAGCAGGCGATTTGCAAAGCCAACATTATTCTCTGAAAAGGCAGTTTCCCCCAGTGTCATAAATCCCAGCAGAACCAAACAGCTTCTCCCTTACGCCGGGCACATCCAGGGGTGGCATATGGAATCTAAAAACTCAGGACAATTTGCTGCATCTCTGTACCCTCCAAATCTCACTCAACCTCCTTCTCACCTCTCTGGGCGGCATGAAGTCTGGGTGCACCTTCTTTGGCTGGGCAAGCTCCAGTATGCGCTTGGAGGCAGTATAGTTCTGTGCAGCCAGGGACACGGACAACTCAGGGGATCTGGAAGCAGAGAGTCGTGGCACTGACACTCAAAGATGCTCCCCACTGGCTGCAGCTGGGATGTCTAAACCTCACATTTGCTGCAGCAGAAGGCAGCTTTGTCTTGTGGCCATTTCCAGTGTAGAACTCATCCCATGAGAGAATCCAGAAGTTCTAATCCCAGCAGAGAACCTGCTCTGCATTTTGGCCTCTGTTTACCCATCTTCTGTTCCTGCATTTATTACTTTGAAGATGCACTGATGCTACAAGGCCCAAGGCTCTACCTATAGCAACCTGTAAGCTTTCTAGCCTCTCACCTTCTCACCAGAGCAGCAGTGGGGATTTTTTTAGGTTCAGCCAACCTCAGCAGCCGTTCAGAAGGGTAGCCAAACTTTGCTAGTGCGGTACGCCCACCGATCATTGGTCTGCACCTGTACAGAAAGAAGGCTTTTGAGGAACAGCACAGAAGAGCTAGCAAAAGGCAACTGGCAGAGAACATGATCCTGGCACTTGGTAACCTAAGTCTGGCTAAACATCCATGCCAGCTGCATGTACAAAAGTTGGCACTGGTGCACATGGAAAAGCCATGAACAAATAGGCATTTGCACCTGAGATTTCCTCACTTTAAATGCCATTTGCATCTGAAGAGTCCTGTTTTAAGCACCCTCAGTGGATTGCTTTCAAAGTCTAGGCTTTTTCTGGACCATTTAAAGAAGCTGCCCCACAACACCCAACAGCATTTACGTTGGCCAGCTCTGCCAGTTTAGAAACCTCATTTTTACAATGGCTTGATAGCACCTTGCGCCTTCGTAGCTCCTTTCACCTTGGTATCTCCCCTAGTGCCTTGCTCATCCAGCTTTCAATCAAGTATAACTGTTGGAATATGCTTGTCATTGCCAGGGAAGGAGCAAGTAGAGGTAAGCAGAAAGGACTGTCATATGGACACCTTTAGCAAGAGGCAGAAGCTCTCAGGAGGATGAGAGCCTGTAACTGGTGATAGTGGCAGAGTGGAAAAAACTAAAGACATGCATGTCTTGACATCCCTGCAGGCAGAGGAGAGCCAAGAGTGCAACAGAGTTTCATCTCCATTCTCATTGCTAGGACTTCTAACAGCCTAGCAACCACCATCCTGAATCAAAAAAAGCTTTATCTCCTCCAACAGAACTACAGATGACTTGCTTCAAGTAATGCAGCACCATTGTAATTTATATTTTTTACATAATTTTTCATTCCAATTCCAAAACATGGTCTAGTTTTTCACCATGTAGTGACAACAGAGGTTTAACTCAAGGCAAGAGACCTGGATTCCTTACAGAAGCAGAACACTGCAAGATTTCTCTTTTCCTAACCTTACCTTAAAGATTTAGATCAGACTTAAAAGAGGATGCGGGGGATCATTAACTGTGTCCAGGTGCCTGGCTGGGCTGCATCAGCCCCAATGGGACAGGGAACACTCTAGAGACAATTCTTCTCTACTCAAAGGTGCAACACACACATTTCATCAAGGAATGCATGCATGCACATGATGTCTACTTCAAACCAAAGCAGAGCTGTTGGATGGCAACAGAGAACAGAGAAACATGCTCCCTTTGTGCTTGGAGACTGAGATCAAGACTAGCTCCTAGGGCAGCTGATGGGAACCTAGAGCTCTAATCAGACCAGCAACTATGTGTTGCAGAAGTCCTCACAGCTGGGAAGTGGGCATGAGGAAATAAAAGGGCACCAAAATTTAGCACTCCCCAGTTCCTCCCCATTTTGGAAGTCAAGTACTCAGGGTGACTATGCTGCCACAGCACTTTCTTCCCTGCTTCAGACAGCCCCTCTTCCAAGCACAAAACAGCTTGGTGAGTTTCAGTGCCATGGAGCTGCTTGCAGGGCAGCATTTTGAGGAGAGGAGATGGCATCTCCCCTTTCCCTGGGAGCCAGTATGGCCCCCTAAAGAACATGCTCTGAGCTGCCTCCTTCCCCAGGATGTACTGACCATCCACGTCACTGACCTGCACTGGTACGTGCTAAAATATTCCTTGGGCCTGGATAGAGCCAATATTCTTGCAGATGGTTGAGCTGTCATAGCACCCCCTGAGAGGGGCCATATTGTCTCTTGGTTTCCCCATACAAGCCTACAAGAACAGCAAGGTTGTGAAATTTTAGTAACATGCACAAGTGTGAAATGTGTTTGCTGGGGCTATTGTTCCCTGTCTAGGATGGAACACACACACACACACACACACACACACACACACTATGGCTCCCCACACCTGCAAAGTGCCAGTACCACCCCCTAAGCATTCACTTTCTGTGGCATCAAATTTCCCAACACTCTCCTGCTGGTGGTTGCCAACTAAAAAAGAAAAGACCTTTAAAGTGATAGGTCTGGTTTTAGTTACCAGTGGATGTGCAGAAAGGGTCATTTCATTACATCTCTGAAACCCCTGGGGGAGTTTCATCATTGCATTTCTTTTGCCTCACCATTACCACCTAACTATACCACAGGTATGACAGTAAAAATAGTAATAATGTTACAGTCAGGGTGTGCCACGGAAAATGGGTGAGGTTTTACAGCAGGTTAGTGGTTACTCTCCTGTGCCCAGGGCAAATTTGGAGTTGCTCATCCCTCACTGAGAGGCCATGGTGGGAGAGGGTACTGGGGTAGTTGGGACAGTGAACAGCAGGGCAATGTGTTTGTGGAGCCTTTTTCAAGGCCCATACAGATAACAGAGAAGAGATGTTACCAAGACACTGCTGCCCTGGCTTGTCAAGCTGTAGTTTGACCACATCACACAGACAGCAACTCTGTTCCTAAAGCTGGGCTGTATCCTCCAGGACAGAGCAGCCTGGCTCCCACGGTCCACACACCATCCTACCCCACATCTCAGTTGGGCAGCTCAGATCAGATGGGGCAACAAAGGCAAGGCTCGAGTCAAGCCCAGGTTTTTGAAAGAACTTGAAAGAGAAAATTGAAGGGAGCCCTTCAAGTACAGAACACCTTAGTCTGATTTTCCAGGAACAGAGGGGAAAGGAGTAGCAAGACAATGGCCAAGGGTCTGCTCTGTCTGAGCCCCGTCAGTCCCCAGCCCTTGAACAAACGCCGTTTGAGCACCTACTTACGTGGGACTGCTTTCATGAAATACTGTCTTGGGTTTTGCAAGTTCAAGTATCCTGCCAAAATTGCCAAAAAGGAGAAACATGCCATTAACCATACAGTTAAACCAATAAAGCATAAAGAAGCTACCGCTGTACTCAAAGCCATATAAACACCCTCAAACCCCTGTGCTTTTGCCTTCATTCCCTTGAGAGAGTGTGTTTAAGAACCTCTCTCTTCAAGCACTTTCCAGCCATTTAATCTGGCAAACTCACCAGCCCATGAATTTTTGTATTTTCTCTTGGACTGCAGAGACACAAATTTGCAATTCTGCCTCCACAGATGGCTAGGAGTGGGAAGGAACTTTTCTGGTCAATAACTTACTGTGAAACAGGTACAAAAATGATGATCTCCCACCCTATAGGAGCCCAAATGAACGAACATCTGCTATCACCACTGTCCTGGTTTACTAAAAGGCACCAGGGGGACAGCACTGTGTTCCCACCTGGCTTCAGGAGCACATTTTATTTCAGTCCATTTAGCACAGAGGTCCTAGATGCTATAGAGACACAGGAACATGCATGGTCTCTGCCCTAGGAGCAGCTCGGGAAATGTTTTTACTGAATATACAACAGACTAAAACCTTTCATGGAGATCAGGTACCACTGCTGAGGACTGAAATCCCAGTGACTGGGAAGTGCCTGAACTTTATGAGCCTTGGTACAGAGAGAAGAACAAGATGATCCAGTGCCACAAGTGTGTTACACAACTTGTCACAGGCCAAGCCCATACCCACCCACTGGGGCTACAGGTGCCTACCCACAGCCATAGGTAAGCAACCACACTGTGCAGGCAGCTGTGGAAGTGCCCCAGCATGGAAAAAAGCACAGAAGGTGGGAGCCTGAGGCATCGCTTCCCTGCTCTGTATCACCTGGTAGTGCAGCAGCATGGCCCTAGAGAAGAGCAAGGACACCACTAGAGAGAGATACTTGCCAATAGAAAACAATCTGTGCTTTGGGGACACATCTGTGGTTTCTCTGATGGGGCTAATACTCCTAGTAAGATGCCAAGCCCTGGAAAATGCTTTTTGGAGAGCTCAGAACCACAGAGATCCCTGAAATGGCAGGCTGCTGTTACAGCATCATCACTGCATGAGATGCCTGTCACGCCTAACTTGGGCCACAGCGCTGCAAACGGCTCCTGCTGAGATCCCACAGAGGCAACTGCCTGTAGGACTTTGGCCCCCTGCCACCAGTTCAAGACAGGACACGGTCAGGAACGCAGACGTCATTTCAGGAGCCAAAAGCCAGTTGAAGTTCTTTATTCCCAAGCAGGTCCCCAGAGGGTTTTCCTTACAAAGTTGCAATGGGGTGAAGGATTAGCACTCAGAGGTCCCCCCCAGCCTAGCTGTGTTGCAGAGCTGGCACTATCTCTGCAAGCAGGCTCCTTGCTTTTCCTCAGCTGCTGGCACAGACTCAGCACACAGCCACAGCCAAATCTAGCATGACATGCACATGGCCCTAGTGCCCCACACTGCTGTGCAAAGCTTGCATCATGATCCAGCCAAGGAACGAGGCACACATACATTCAGATCAGGTCTCTCAACTCACTTGACAATCTTCTTTTGTTCTTTTTTCCAGTTATAAAAGGAAAGATTACATTTATCATGGCAAAAGCTTTAGACAGAAAGGCATCTTCACTCAGGATGTACCTACAGCAGCTCTGCAACTTGAAGGGGTTAAACCACCTCACTGACAAGACAACCCTGGTGGAGCTTTTTTGTTTGGGCCTGCTCATGCTTCCCAGCAAGGAAAATGAGGCCTTGCTTCAGCCAGACATGGAAACACCTCCCCTCTACTGTCTGAGCATTCACAGACTCATTGCTTAAGATAGATCAACTCCTTTTGAGATCAATTCCTTGTAAAGCAGAGTCACAGCTTCCGTTTTGAAGGGGCAGGATGGTCAGACATTTTTCAGAAGCTGAGGTAAGGGCAAAACCGGGCATAATTTCCTCTCAAGTGTTTATCACAGTGTCATCTGATATATTGACTCACTGCTCAGTGTAAATCCCCAACTGGGCCCTCTCAAGAGACGTGGAGCACTGGCCTGAACACACAGCCAGGAGGAGAGGGCTTCTTACCTGCTGCGTGGGCGTACACATATGCGAGGTAAACAAGGTGACACTGCAAAGACAAGAATAGGTGAATTTAAAAGCTTGATAACTCCTGGGGCCTGGACTGCCCGCTCTTTCACGTGCAATACTCATACGGCAGATGAAGTTTGTGCATCTCCTCAGGATAGTTGCTCAGCAGATGTTTGTATTGTTTTTCCCTGGTACCTTCCTCTCCAGTGGTTGTGCCCCGGCTGCAGGATAGAGCACCTCCAGCACCACATCCTTCTCCTGGCACAAGCACCAGTGGTCGCCAGCCTGCGGGCTCCCACCTGACTCAGTGCAGCCACCCCTTATCACTGCCTTCAGCAGCTTCTAGGGGAGGTTTGCAGAGCCTGGGGGGAACAGCTTTAAACTGGGACTCGGTGCCAGTACAAAACATCCGGGGGGTGGGGTACGATACGGGATAACAGGAAAACCGGCGGCGTGCCGACACGTGCAGCCACGTGCCCCGACGGCAGCGACGGCCTCGAAACGGGGCCGGCATCCCTCCGTCCCCGCCGCCGTGCTCGGGGCCTGCCGGCGCCTG